TGGAAGGGATAGTTGATACAGGGTCCTTATATCTCCACCTGGTTTGGCTCAAGTGTCACCTCATCTAAGGAGTTTGCTGCTCCTCTGTGACCCATAATAGCACCTCTGCTTTCCACCACTCCTCCTACTGAAATTTACTGAATACCTGCTGTCTGCCAGCAACTGGCTGGGGCCCAGAGGTACAGCTAACCTGACAGGCGTTGCTGACCTCACCACCTCAAACACTTCTCTGCAATTTCATTGAACTGGGTACCCAGTTCAGGTGGTGTTACATAAGTGGTAAGTTGGAATTTGTGTATTGAATCTGCTGTCCTAACAGCAATGGCAGAGAAAAAGTACAATTCCCAGCTGTAGGGAGCCAGCAGAGTGAAGAGTCTGGGAATGTAGCTGAGTAGGGAGAGCAATTGCCAAGCAAGCAGGAAACCCTTTGATCTGCTAGCACTGCATAATGGTAGCACATGCCTGTAATCCCAGCACCTGGGAGGCAGAGTCGGGGTAATCAAGAGTTCAAGGTTGAGGCTCAGCAGTTTAGAGCACCAGCTGCTCTTCCAGAGGACCTGGGTCCCATTCCCAGCACTGACATGGCAGCTCATGGTCACCTGTAACTCCAGTTCCAGGGGATCTCATGAGTTCTCTTCTGCCTTTCTTGGTCACCAGACACATACATACAGGCATAACCTCCACATACATAAAATAAAACAGACAAAGGATTAAAGTTCATCCTCAGCTTCATAATAGATTTGGGGGCAATCTGGGCTATGTGAAGCCCTGTCTTCAGAAAAAGGGCAGATGTGTAGGAAGTGGGGAAAATGGCAAGGATGGTGGAAGCCCTCAGTAGGGTGCCCAGGTCTTCCATGTGGAACGAGAGAAGGTGGCAACCATCTGAGCTGGTATATGAATCAGTAAGAGGAGGAAAAAGGGTTTCTGACAGAGGGTGCAGCATAAAATCCAGAATTCAGGAAGAGGTCATGGAATGTAGCTCAACAGTAAAGCCCCTTGTCTAGCGTGCATTAAGTCCTGAGTTCAAACCCTAGTACCCAAACTGAGCAAAACAAAAAGGGGCCATGTCGCTAATCTGTGGTATGAAGACAGGACTAACTAAATATGAAAGTCGATACTTCACTGCACTTCAGTGCTAGAATTCACCATTCTCTTGCCTCAGCTTCCTCAGGTCTGGGATTATAGGCACAAACAGCACAGGCAGCTTCCCTGACAGGCTCTTAACTCACCCAGCCAGATGTTCACCTCACAAAAACAGGGGTGTGCTGTGTTACTAGAGTGAAGGGGAGACAGAGGCAGATGTTTGGAGAGGGTCAGAATGATAAGCGAGAGCACCACAGCTGGAGTTAATGAAACTCCTGTGGGCATGAGGAGAGAGGGAGCCGGAAGCCCACTGGCCCAGCCTGTGCAGGGAATGGGTGGGATGCAAACAGAAAGGAGAGCGGCTTTTCAGAAAACACTTGTAGAGGGGAGGCCCTAAGGCAAGCAGGAGGCAGGGAGGAGCAGAGTTGAGGAAAAGTAGGCAAGAAATCCTAATCTGTTCAGGGATGAAGCCTATGATGTAAGAGTGGGCAAGCTAAAAATCAGATTCTCCCTGGGAAGTTGGGGACTCTTACCTGATAGCTATGTGATGACTTTCCTTCCACACCATACCTCGAGGAGGAGGGGGTCCTGTCACACACAGAGACACAGACACACTCACACACAGACACACACTCACACACAGACTCACACACACACACACCCTTCCCACTAGTTCCTGGGACCGGAAGACAACTCTAAGCAGGAGAGTGAATGAGTGCCTGAGGGCTGTACATGTTTGGAGGAGTGGCTGCATTTGAGGAAAGGAAAGGAGTAAAAGGGGAAGAGCTTAAGGTGTGCAGCTCACCTTCAGGTCCCAGGGCCTGAGAGGAAGAAGCAGGAAGATCAGAAGTTTAAAGCCAGCCTGAGGCCTGTAGCAAATTTGAGGCTAGTTTGGACTACATGAGACCCTGTATCAAGAAAAGAGAGAGAGAGAAATTGTGTGTGATTATCCAGGGGGGGAGTGGGAAGAGCTGCCAGAGACACTCTGGGTGAGACCAGGGATTAATGTCCCTGTCCATGAAGTCAGAGAAAGAGAATGGAGAAGTGTTTCTTTACCCTAGGGGGATTGATTAATGAGGTGTTCACTGAAAGCATCCTCAAAATGGGAGGGTGTTTGCCGGAAAGAAGAAGGGACCTTTCCTTACCAGCCCTGCAGCTCGGTCATTTAATTCTCAGGACCACCCCTGGAATGGTCTCATTTACAAATAAGGAAATTGAGTCTTAGAAATGTTAAGTAACTGCCAGACACCGTGGTACACAACTTGAATCCCAGCACTTGGGAGAACAGGGGAAGGTAGATCGCTGAGTTGGAGGCCTGCCTGGTCTACAGAGTAGGAAAGTCATGGCTACACAGAGAAACCCTGTCCAGAAAAACAAAAAACAAAAAACAAAAAAACAGCAACAGCCTTTAATCCCAGCACTCGGGAGGCAGAGGCAGGCGGATCTCTGTGAGTTCCACGCCAGCCTGGTCTCCAGATCGAGTGCCAGGGTAGGCTCCAAAGCTACGCAAAGAGAACCTGTCTCGAATAAACAAAAACAAAACAAAACAAAAACCAGCAACAAAAACACAAAGAATTCCTGATCCTCCCCACCCCAAGAAGAGATGGGTCTTGATACCTCCCTGCGCCCTACATCTATCCTCTGTGTCTGCCTGAACTGCACATTCCTTCCTGACCTCCTCCTTCCCGTCTGTCTTGCCCTGACTCTTTTTCCTCCTTGTCAAATCAACAGGCTCAGTGGGCCTCTGAATGCCTAAACCAGCTAGGGGACTCTTCCACTTCTAAGTCCTCAAGTCTTTGCAAACCTATGAGCTCCAAAGGAAACACTTAGTACCTGCCTGAGCCACCTCCTGTTATCCTCCTGCAGGTCTCATCTGCCCTGGTCATACTATACTTTTTTTTTTTTTTTTTAATGATTTATTATATATAGTGTTCTGACTGCCTGTACTCCTTCAGCCCAGAAGAGGGCACCAGATCTCATTACAGATGGCTGTGAGCCACCCTGTGGTTGCTGGGAATTGAACTCAGGACCTCTGGAAGAACAGCCAGTGCTCTTAACCTCTGAGTCATCTCTCCAGCCCAGCCATACTAAATACTAGGATTGCCAACCAACAGTGTTTCCATGTGAAGGAGCTCAGACTTTTGAGACATACCCATCCCCTCAATGCCCTGCTCCCAAGTAGCCTCATAACTTGCTCTGTTTTATTTATTTTTTTTTTTTTGAGACAGGGTTTCTCTGTGTAGCCCTAGCTGTCCTGGAACTGATTTTTAAACTAGGCTGGCCTTGAACTCACAAAGGTCTGTCTTTTTCTCCAAGTGCTGGGATTATAGGCATGAGCTACCATGCCCAGTTATGACCTCCTCTCTTAATCCCTAAAGATTTTAGGTCAATTACCACCTCATGTTGCCCTCCCCAAGCATCCTAGTTATAACTATAAACTGCCCTTTCTTGACATGCCTTATCTCTCTTCATGGAATCTAGGTCACATAATGTTCTGTGTATATTATTTGTTTAATCAGTTTATTATCTCCTTTCTAGAAAATACCAACAATTCCTTTCCTGTTTAGTATTATTTCTCTCTCTCTCTCTCTCTCTCTCTCTCTCTCTCTCTCTCTCTCCT